AGGGAAAACTGCAAGGGTACCACAAAAGATCGGGGTTGAGAAGCAGAAAGGAAATGGGCTCTTGCACAAAAGTACAGCTGTTGAATCTAAACATCAGGTTTGAAGATGGACTTTCTAAATTAGGATATTCAGTTTTTCTCTTCTTCCTTCACTAAAGGAGTTAGACCTAACAAAGCTTTCTCTGTTTGTACTGGGAAGACTAAGCGGACATTGTTGCCGCTCTTTGGCATTTCAAAACTAGGACTTGAAATGGTTGCCAATTTCTCTTATTTTTCCTCTGCTTACCAATTCCTGCACTAAAAGCACATCTCCAAACCCACAGCTTTTTTATTTGTAATTTTTAGAAATTAGCTATTTTGGACTCAAAAGAGCTGTCTTGAAAACTTTAGGAAATTATGCTGCAAAATATGAGGGTCACATCTAACATTGTAAAGGTAAGGAAACTGAGAAGATATATTTATAAAAGCCCCTTACAGTGACAAGAAAGCATAGAATCCAGGCTTTGTGTGTGTAATTTGTGCTTTTAATTTAGAATTAGTCTGAATCTTTTAGTTAACTCTATCATAAGTGAGATAAATTACCAGCATCATGTTACATTTGCATTTGATTCTATGTCAATATCGACCATTTCCAATTATTTTAACAGCATGTGGAAAATGCATTTCCTAGGGAAGCGAAAGGGAAGAAGCTTGCAAGTAGACTTAGTCGATTAGTTTAAAATTTTACAGTAGGACTCTTTTCCTTTGTCATATATTGAAATAAGAAAAATCATCTACTTGGATAACTTCAGCCAATGCTTGCTTTCTTCCAAAGGAAAAACTATGGACAAGCTAGATAAAGAATAAAAGAGGCTAGATCTCTAATAGAAACATTTCATAGTGTTTCATCACATTAAAAAAGTACAAGTAACACCAAAAATAATCTGATTGCATTAAAGGATTTACCCACAAACATGATGAAAAAAAGTTAGTGTGACCATTCTATTTTCTAGATGTTTTCATAGACTGATATAGAGAGATACTGATGAATAGGTAGAATACACTCAACTGTTTGGGACTGTACAGAAATAGTTTGAACACACAAAAACTTTTTATCCACATGCAGTAACTCAAATGAAATAACTTCCACTCTGATTTTCAAAATAAACGAGAATGATGGTGACATAACATAGCAAAAACTTGAGATTATTTTCTGTAAATGAGGTGATCATGCATTCAAAACAGTTATTTCTGCTCTTCATTGCTGAACAATAGTACAGAATAGAAGTTCACAGTCATAAGAGAACAACACTGAGCAAGAGGGATGGGAATCTCTAAAAATACTAGCAAATGCAATTCAGTAATTGGACAACATAATAGGCTAGCTTTAAAAATAATAATTAAAAAAACAACCTGAAGTAAATGTTATTTGATCAAGCAATCAAACAGTGCTCTAGTGCTGTTGGTTAAACTTCACTCTCATAGCAAAAAAATCAGTTTCTTTTAGGTAAAGTACCTAAGCATTCATGAACCTATTTCCATTAATTATATTTTCAATTAAAATTCTTTTTATAGAGGTTGTTTCTTATAATGAATTAAAAACCTAGAGACAGACTAAGTGTGCTCCTTACATGCAATACCTCTCTGGAAGTATAGGAAAAAATTATTTTTCACAAGAAACACTAGAAAGCACTGCTATTGAACTCTGGGTGATTGAAATAAAAATAGCATGGGACAAATATATATTAGTTTAAATTTAAAATATTGCCATGTAGAATAATTTTGTGATATTATTTTAATTAATAGTCTCTAAGTTTTAAATGTTGTTAATTATGGAGGTAGAAGAATTTAGGTAACTACAATTCCTTTACTGTTTTTTGGCAAGACAAAAGCCGTAAAGGTAACCGACCGATGCTCAACAAATACTTGATTGAGCCTGGATTAAATTTACAGGTCCAATGATCAGGAGCACTAGGCATTCCTTATTTTCTCCCTCAAAAGCAAATCACTGATCACTTTCACAAATGCTGCTCATTGCAGTGATGCTTGAACCATAATTCATCAACAAATAACCCCCAAAACCAAAGAAAACCCCAAAAATCAAACTCCATCAAGAAGAAAAAACCAAAACAAACAAACAAACAAAAAAGAACAAAAACACACCTCAGATGTATCAAAAGCTTTTAGCCACTCCTTGTTCCAAATTAAGATTTAAGGATATCAGAACTTTCCCTTCCTTTTTATGACTTCCAGAACAATTGACTAATCTTATTCACTAGTAAGTCTCATACCTATGATGAGAGAGCTTTCACAGAAAATAAGCAAATCTTTTGAGGAAACAAAATTTGAAGTTCCTCAATTCCATCAAACTGCACAACATTTAAAGAAGACTATAACATGAATGGTGACATGTTAAAAAAAGATAATTTAGATTGTGTTTACGTTGAACAAGTCCAACTCAGACTAATTCTCCACTGTAGCAGTATTGCATCATCTCCTTTTGAAGTCGCATGGCACCCTAAATCTGTTTATCTACTACCTATAAATTTCAGTGCAGAAACAGGAAAAAAAAAAAATCTGCCACTGTTATTCACAGGAACTTTTGCAGATTAGCTAATATAACCAAATCTTTTATTGCTATTCCTTAATAATATCATCAGACCTCCAGAACCAAGTGTTAACTTCTGAGTGAACAATAACATTTTACAACAATCACCCTAAGCAGGCAGAAACCTTGAATCTTTGTACCTAGATACACTACCGAGCATCTAAGTATTTTGAAATAAAAATTTAGTATCAAAAATATATTTCTGAATGTTTGATTTCAGAACATTCACTACTATTCAGTACTACACAAAACTATTGCAAAAATGGCTGAAGTACTGCTTTTCTAGACTTTTTACAAAATGATAGCCAAAACACTTCTGTTAGAATCTTACCTGTACCCGCTGATCATCATCTATGCATTGCTTCTCTGTTTCTAGGACAGTAGATTTCAACTCTGAATTTGAAAAGATACAGATTTTTAAAGTTCTATATAAAAAAGTTTCATTAATCTTTTAAAATACACATTCAGCATTTCATGATAAGAGAACAGAGTTAAAAAGAAAACCATTAACTGTTACACTTTCCAAATTATTCATCTAAAATTAAATGAGCAAGTTGTATCCATAAATAAAACCAGCCGGATCTCGATTTGCAATGTGTTTATTATGACTCAACATTAAAAACTATCATCTTAAATGTGTAGTGTATAAAACTTGAAAGAAGTCATTTTTTATTGTTAAAATCTCTGATTCAAAGAAAAATAATTACTTATGGCTCGATTCATACATTACATAGAAGGTCAAATAAAAGTTCTCATGTGTCTGTTCACAAAAGGCCAGAAGAACGTATAAGCAGGATGATCATTGTTGGCAGCTATGTTGTCTTCATACCCTTCTCTGGCCCTCCTCTGCTCTATTGTCAAAATTTGAGATCTCCACAATAGGATAGAGCATGATACAGATCTAAATTCACTTTTTAAAAGAGTGGTTCAATGCAATTGACCTCACTATTGCAAACACATTTTTAGAAATCTCAATTTTATCCTAGCTTTATTATTTGCTGTCTATAGCATCTCAGCCCTACAAAGGGGTGGTTTGGGACTGTACACTTATTGTGTAAGTGTACAATCAGAGCCTCCCAGAACTAGGGACATTCAAGTTGAGAATATAAAACTAATTCTGCACCTTTGTACTGAATTTCACACCCTCTCTTTTGGGTACAGAACCAGCATTAATCTGATTTTTTAAAATTTTGACAGTGTTACTTATTTACATTGAAAAATGAAACAACCATACTTCATTCTAGTAGTATCTTCTTCAATTATTTTGTACTTTGGAATAAGTAATGAGAACCCTAATCTCTAAGCATTCCCTCAATAAATTATTGTATTTAAATGGAGAAAAACATTATTTGTCCCAGAATGATGGTTTTAAATGGAAATAAACATCTCCAATTATCACTGTGACAATGAAAAATAAAATAGCAGCGAGACTAAGAACTTTTATCTGCACATTTTACCTTGAAAATAGGCATCAAAACATAACACCACCTCCCAAATGGAATAATTTCCTTATATTAAAACTTGAATAACAATTATTCTATCTAAAAATACTAGTCTTTTGAGATTGCTGTTTTCATAAAGGGATTCCAACTTAAACCAAACCTAAGTACAAAAGAAATTACATGAAAACGTTGACTGTCCTAATATCAGTGAGACATATATTGTACATTTCTGCATTATTTCCACAGTGCTGTACTTTGATTACCACAGTGCTGCATAAAAGAAATAACAGATTTTGAGCTGGAAATGACACAAGACATGTAACAACCCAACACACGTTCAGGATCCTCAAGTCTTTTGGTAAGCCATTGCAGAGAATAACAGAGACTTATTTTTAATGTATTTATGGAAGACAGAGTCTTGGTGTTAAAGCATAGGGCTTGAATTAAAAGCTCTGCTTTCTGTTCTGACCTTTCCACAGATTTCTTCTCTGACCTTAAAGAACCTCTCTGTGCCTCAGTTTCCTTGCCTGATAGGAGATAACTAGAAAAATTAAAAGCAAAACAAAAAACACCCAGCAGCTACACAGTGAAAGACCTCTAACCAGCTTCGTAGCTACTGTTAATAATGCCTCTTTAACTGATCATAGCCTAATTTTGTACGCAGAACAAGAATAGAAATATTTTTCTTATACCTGCCCAGAGAACATGTGTGTCTCACATCCTCCTTCTGTCTTCTATATAGTGTATAGCGTACCGCTACACAGGAGGCAAATCTGTTGATCACTAGCAGACACAGTAAAGCAGCTGTGGTCCAGAACCTCTGGACTCATAATTCCTAGACATTTGGCCTCCTCACAGCTTTCTGACAATCCCAGCTGTTGGGAGGTGCAAGGAGGAAGTTTCATTGCCAGTGGCATTTATGCTACCCCTTGAAAATTAGCAATCCTCAACCTGTTTTACTATTAAAATTGTTTTCTAAAACAGCATTTCAAATTTTATCTGACAGAATTGTTCCCAGTCATAAAAAGCTTAATGAGAATGCTGCTAATGAAATGAACACTCCTCACTGCAACCAAAATAATCCCACCAAAACCAGTGAATGATTATTTTCTGGTAAAAAATATTAATGTCTCTTCCAAAGGAAGGGAAGAGTATCAATATTTTTAAACTAAGCAATTGTTAGATAGATGTTTTATAAGTAATCTGGAAGACAATTTTTTTCAGCTAACTTTACCTCAATTGATTTGCAAAACCAGGAAAACTTCATTAGTATTTGGTCATTACTGATCTCACCAAAGCCTGTGTACATGATTTTAGATTTCTGTATGGTTGAGAGAAAATTTAAGATGAATTTGATCTTTGTTTACACCAGGTTTTATTATTTGCTAATGTTCTAGTACTAGAAAAGAAATGTACACACACACAACCTGGTAGCATTTCCTGTTATGCAAATTGGCACAAACTACCTCCCTTACTCAAAATTTCTTTAAAAAAATAGGAACAAGCTGTTTCAATTTGACAGAATTGTCTAGCTTATTTTTACATCAGACAAGTTTTGTTCTGAAAAGGGTTCTAAATATAAACTGAGTTCAGGGTGATAGGAACAGTTAATTTTAAGGTTAGTTTGCCAAAATTCACTAAATACAACTTATCTGCAGCAAACTAACAAGGTATTATCTTTTTTAAATGAAACTAAAAAAACCCCAAAACCAAACCCCACCACAACAACAGAAAAAAAAAAAAAAAAAAAAAAAGTTTGAAGGAAAAAAAAAAAATATGACAAATTAAACTTTCCCTTTAACCCCAAACAAACACTTTTTCTTTCCCCTCATTTTTCATAAAACAAAGAAAAGAAAGTTCTGGATGAGCCTAATTTTGTTAAAGAGACTAACTTAGATTTCAGGTTGTAAACCCACACAGAGATTTAATGTGTTTGGACTGTTTCATTTTGCAGGAGAAGTTGAATAATCTTTGAATCTCTGCCTAGGTGGTAAGGACAGTCACATGGAATACAGGATGACTGTGCCTGCATATTTGCCTTTTCCTATATGCTGGGTGGAATAGTGTTATCATCAAAGCATTGAAATAATTGAATTTCAAGTAGCCTGTTGTGTTCAGATTCAGGTAACATGCTGGAGTGTGAGAGCAGTAGAGTTAAATACCATAAGAAGTAACAGAAACAGATTTGGGGTATACAGATGGAAAATCAGTAGCACACAAATTGATCTTATTGGTGATAATGACTCATTTTGTCCAAAAACTTTTCTGAATCCATAACTACAAAATGTTTTTGGCATAAGTACCTGCTGACTTGAACCCAAATTCATATTAGGTATTTCCAAACTTCATCTTTTCAATAAATAGCAAACTTAACAAAAAGAAAATAATAAAAAACCCAAAACAAAAAACCCCAAAGAAACTAAAAAACAAAACAAAAAACCCAACCTGAAAAAACAAAAAAATCCAAAAATCCCCCTGACCAATCTAATAGCCCTCTCCTCACATCCAACAACACTCCATAGGACACAGAGCACACAGCAAACTATTTAATATATACTATATTATACAGATGATTAACTACTTTGCTAATATAAGAGTAGATTACCTAAAACCTCGCAGAATTTCCTCTTGCCTTACTCAACACTTGAAGGCCTAGTGCTGTCCTTATACTAATATGTGTATAATAAAAATAAAGACTCTACATATAAAAATATCCTCCTATATTCCTCTCCGGATAACCGCTTTCAAATAAAATGGATCTTTTTGTTTATAAACCATTGTCTCTAATGTTAATATTTTTACTGTTTAACTCATACAGCAATAATTATATATAATGCAATACACAGCTACTCTACACATAGTCATTTAAACCCTTTAAAAAATGCTTACCCCCTCCACCTTTCAAAGGCACATATACATAATTTAGTTACAAATCTTGAAGAAGGTGTTTATCCATCAGGATTCAGATGAAACATCACTCACCTTCACGTTCTTCCACATGGCAAGCATGTGAACAATCAAATAAAAAGTTAAATTATCTATCTACCTGAATTGTGTTCAGAACAATTATAATTTTTCCTTTTCCCTCCATGCCCTAGACTGCAAATTCACTCTGAAAACCAAAATTTCAATATTTTTAAGTGTCAGCACCTCCAGTAAATTCTGAGAACTATTTATGTTCCATTTAGAAATAGTCACAATACACAATTTTCCATTTTACTTCTAATTCTATTTTCTTAATATTTTTGCAGTTTTTGAGAGGGCAGTGGCTGAGATAAGGAACAAAGTACTGTACATATTACATCCATGTAGTAGGTGTAATATTAAATAAAACAACATAGGATGGAAACAAACTATGTATAAGATGAATAGATTTAAAAATTATTAGTATTTTCCTCTTGGTAGAATATTTTCCAAATTAGTAAAAATCTTTAAATTCCAAAATATTTTATGTAATCAATGTTCTTCTAGATTTTAAAGCAACAAAACTGATTCTTAACTTGCAAAACCCTCTGCTGGGCTTAATCCTCAAAGTAAAATAAAAAAATATTCACCCTTTTGTTTTTCCTGTGCAGAGTATGTTAATAAATATTATGATCACACATCCATTAGCTAAGTCTCCAAGTTGAGAGACACAATCTGTCTACTCAAAGTACATGGCAATGAATTCTACTACCACATATGACAGCACTTTCATTGAATACATCATAAAATAGTACACCATTAGTCAAAAACTGGACTAGCCCAACAGTCCAGTACTGCAGTGTTCCATACTCTGAAATGCATCAGTGAAACGGATGCAGAAATGTTTCCTTAACCACTAATAGAGTTGCTTTGGTAAAAGAGAATAATACAGCAGTATTACATTTTTGTTGGCATTACTTATTTTGCTTGTGAACACTGGAATAAGAGATACCAGTAAAAGTGAAATGTTGTCATGATAAATGGTGTCTGTGCAAGGAATACTTTGCTCATGTTATAGAGGAAGTTGTAGAGAAGTGTCAAAGAGAAGTAGATCTGAAATTAATTCCACCCAAAGCCTACAATCAGTAGAGAGATGTGTTGAAATAACGTCTTAATTCTTCAACTGTGAGCAATGAAAAAAAAGGAGTGATAGGAAGTAGAAAATTTGAGAATACCCAGTGGCTCTCCATGGAGGTCACAAGGATGAATGCAGCCTAAGAGTGCTGAGAGCCATTGAATACTAACTACTACGAAGCTAAGCTTCCAAGAACCTGTGGCATTTGTCTATCAACACTACTAATAGTAAACAGGTTTGAAATTATCTTCTAAATTTCTTTGTCAGCTGCAAGAGGTTTTGGTTTGTTTTGTTTTAATTCCTCATCTTAAACAAAGCTTTTAAAGAGTAAGCAGAAGATTTCAGAAATTTGGTAAAGTAACCTCCCAAATTTTAAGATAAACTGATTTTGTAAAAAAGACCTCAATTTCTTTTTCAGGTACACTGTTCATACCTCTCAGTCAGCAGGGAACTGCTGAATCCACAAAGGAATACCTTACACCACTCTATTAACTTTCAGTATACCACCAGTGGGCTTCTTAATATTTCCATATTTCTAAGAACAGAAAAGTACCCATATTTCATGGCCCTGAAGGTATGCAAACTGGAAAAGAAAAAAGGTCACAACACCTGGTAAAATCTATTAGTCAGCAGATGCCAGACACACATCTTGGTTCTTAACAAAAAGCATGCATTTTTGCTGAATATTTTTTATTAGATTCATACTAGCTAACATTATTTCTGATTCTAATCCAAGATCTTCAAAATCAGGTATTTGTTAGAAGTTAAGATACTAGGTTTATATCTTGGATTCTGTAAGACAGCAGCTCCCCCCCAAACCATACATATATCTTGCCTATGTCCAAGAACCATACCTTCTTTCGTAATTTTAGATCTTTGTTCTTCATCTGGAGGTTTGGGTGGGGGCCATACAGATGGAATTCTCCTTGGAAAGCTTCCTTCAATGTAATCTGATGAATGTGTGGGTTGGCTAACTGCAGCCCAAGTATAAAGCTGGTCTTGCTGTTGTTATTAAAAAAAAAAAAAAAAAAAAAAAAAGTTGAGAAGTTCATATAGAAAGACAAGCTCAAGACATCAAAGCCTTTGTTTCTAACACAAATAGCTCAATATCCACCCCTATAGCAAGTCAGACTTGTTTTTATGCTCTTCATCTCCTGACAAAGACTTAACATAAATCTATATTGACATAATTTAATCTTTCAGTTTTGGAATTACCTCTATTAACAATAGAAAATCTATTCTTTTAGTTATCTACAGCACAATGAGATGCTAGAATACAGTTCAGCACTTTTTTTGACCATGAGGAACTCTTTGCCACTCCTTTCCTTAGAAAGATAACAGGTTCTGTCCATCATGACTTCTTTACATATAGCTAGTTTATAGTTAGAGAAAACTATTTCAGCCCACATACCTCAACCTTTTTACACCAAATGCACAAGCAACTAAAGTAAGCAGGATTACTTCAGCATAAATTAAACCAAGACATTTATTCACTGCAATCCTGTTTTTGTCATTCACATTTCCATATTCATAGAAACACAGCTAAAAAAGTGGTTTGCTTTTGGAATAAAATAAAAAATGAACAACACAATTCTCAATCCTCTAGGCTCAAATCAGATTATATCCTTATTAGTCTATAGCTTTGAGTTTGATTCACTTATTAAAAGTAGGAGACATCTAGACTGTTGAAAACTACAGCAAACATGCTTTAAGTGAACAGAAAGATTTTAGCTGATTACAATACAAGAAGTTATTCTTGTGATGCCCAGTGTTTAGTGTGCATGGTGGTGTTGGGTCGACGGTTGAACTTGATGATCTTCAAAGTCTTTTCCAACGTTAATAATTCTATAATTCCATGAACATGGACACCTTGTGATGAAATCTTTATAATATTGTAAACTATAGAGTTGAATCCCAGCAACTGCATGAGTAATAAGTATTGTAGTAGAAAACTGGAAAAAACATTGATTTTACACAGATACTAAACATTGACGAGACATGCAGGGGGAAGAACAAATAATTTAACACTTTTGGGGGGGATAATGACTATTCCATGTGACTAAGCTTCTGCACACCTAAAAATAAGTTGTGATAAGAATGGTAATATTCTATTGAGAACAACTTGCTTAGAAGAGACAAAAGCTAGTTCTAAAGTAAAAAGTTTTGCTTTAGAGAGGGTGCCTCAAACAGTCAGGGTCAAACGAAGCTCATTACATCTTTCCAATATGAAAAACACAGTAAAAATCCGGCCACATACATGGACCTTAGATAAAGGTAAAAATAAACAGATAAAAAGCTTAATACAAAATCACATCAGGTTTTCCATATAGCCCTGAACTCTGTCTTCCTTGAAAAACCTATCCTTTTCCCATTACTATGCTCTGCATTTGAACATCCAAACAGGCTTGATTAATGCAGTTCTTTCAGTAACTTAGTACTTTCCCTTTGTCTAATTCCAGTTTTTTAGAGGATATGTATTTTGGAGTTTCTGCCTAATTTCCAGTACTGTATATACTGTGTAAAGAAAAAGAAAATGTGCTGGATTTTGCTCTGTGTCTTTTTTTCTACACTGTCCAAATCACAAAAAACATAGAGGAAAATAAAATTCAAAAACATAATTGAGGCAAATTAGAACATTTTTTTTTTCCCCCACTCTACTACCTTACATACTACTACCTTACTTAGCTGGGTAAGCACAGTTGACTTTCAGTGGTAGTGATGTAGGGCAATAAAACAGAAGACAACAGGCTGTAGATAATATTGGCATAGCATGAATAAGGAAGACAAGCAGTTAAACTGTTCCTGGACATGATATTTCACTATGTCAGTTCTTGAAAGATATTGTACAATCATTTAACAACAAATTTTTGAAGTATGATTAGACTACATGAATTAAGATGTATTAAAAAAAACCTATGATATGTCTCAGAATTATTGTACAGATGGGATACATTATGAGGGTAATAAAATACGAAGTACCTATGGTCTTGCTGATAGAATTTACAGCATAGAAACCATGATCAGTTATAAATTAAGACATAACACAACTCCATAACCGACAACTAACCCAGCATGGGAGATTTGTTTGTGAGTATAAAAGACAGTATTTTTTGTGGGAGTTTGGGGAGGGTTTTTTTGTTTGTTTTGGGATTCTTTTCATTCACTATTCAACACAGAAAAGGATGATGAAACAGACTCATCATATGATAGAAATTTACAGAGGGAAATGTAAACTTGCAAAAATGCCTTGAAGGGATTTGCACTACAACCAAAATGTATCTCCATTCAATATATAAACAACATATTTAACAACCGCCACATTTAGATTTCTTGCAAACTTATAAACATAATTTAAAATATAACAAACCTTCACAAGAGAAAGGCAGTCTGAAGATCTGGACTTCAAGTTAATAGTCCATAAACTACACTTATATTGGGAAAAGATTAACCCTGTCTCTACTTTTGTGCCCTTCAAAAGAAATTAATCATTTGAATGTCCTAATTCCTACTCATTCAGGATACTGTCCAAAATCCAATCCTTTTTACCTTATCTTTAGTTCCTTGTCAGTTAATATACTAACCCATCTCATTTCTCCTTTTCCAAATCTGATAATACCATAAATTTGCATGATTATTAGAACATTTTGAAGAAAGATATATGCAGCAACATTCTGTGATGTTGAAGTACTATTCAAGCAAAAGAAAAGAATAATTGAAATAGAAAAATCCAGATTTGCAAGCACCCACAAACCTGGCCTTCCACACCCAACTTTTTCTCCTTTAATCTTTTCATTTCAGAGGCAATTTTTACTAGATATCATTGTAAGTCCAGCCAGTGAACATGCTTACCGTGACCAAGCTTTGAATACATCTGGAATTTCCAATTCATCTTGCTCAGACTCCACTATTTAGTGTTTAAAGCACTTCTTTTGGAAAAAAACAAAACAAAAAACGCCAAACCCCAACCAAACAAAAAAACAAAAAACCAACAAAACATGCATACATATATATATATATATATATATATATATCTCCTTTTAATGAATGATCCCAGTCTTATTTATTCGGACTCATTTCTGGACAGATATTGAAAGCTTAAAGCTGTCTGAGTCCAGTACACTAAGCATGATGTCAAGAAGAGTTCTCATTTCCACACATCCTTACACAGCACTTTCCACTGGTTCTTAAAACTGCAGAGCACAGAGCATTTGCACACGGGCGAGGTAAACTGCCTGCAGGAGCTGATGGTTCCTAATCAATAGACATTTTACCACTTATAGATGCTAGCATTTAGAACAGAGTCACAGAGAGTTAGGTCTGTAATTTAACTCACTCTCTTCCCAGCCAGCTCTCAGTAGGCACAAAGAATGGCCTTTCTTAACAAATTTTCATTCTTGGGTACCACAATGTTATATTTCAGCTACATAATGTATAATCTTTAATAATCTGCTAATCTTTAAAGATGGAAGCCAATGCTGTAAGATACTCAAAAGTAAGGGCCTCTAGCAAATGACATACAGAAAGAGGCTGGTGGACACAGAAGGAATACTGGTGAATCCTGAGCTTTCAGAAAAGGGGCGACACATTTTTCATACAGAGAGACCAGTTTTGTTCCCTGGGCCACAGGCTGCATTAAAGATTACAAGATCCCCCACTGTATAAATATCTTATGCCACCTTGAACCTATGCTTTTGGCAGCTGTATTGCTCCTGGAGATATGCTGGTAACACAACCTTCTATTCAATGCCACTTCAGTTCTGAATCAACTGTTTATCTGCTTTCACTTCAAAGGATAAAGATAGGCATTGTGAGAAATGCTTAAAAGAGGTACAAGAGAAGGAGTTGAAACAGCAATAAATGTATACACACCTGTCCAAACTGGTTGCAAAAGCACGAATTAGCAATGTGTGAATCAAGAGGGAAAAAATCTGACAGGAAGTATTTTGACAATTCTGAAAGAAAATTAAAAATAGCAAAAAAGCACAGGTAAGATGAAAAGGCGGGGCAGTACAGAAGCACACTGTTATCAGGAGTCACCTCTGCTCTTCAGTTCAGCACAGCACTAGATGGGGGAAGCACATTAGCGGTACCTCTAAACTTTCTTACACTAGAGTGAATTGGTACTAACTTTGCTGTGACTCCCGTGTTAAGCCATGATGAAATCAGGCTCTATCTTGCAGGGCTTTTATTTTCAAAGAGTAAACCTGAACAATTTTTCACTAGAACCCCAAACATTCAAAGTTATCCTGAAGAGGGGAGGACAGAAGTGTTGCCATGTCCACAGACAGGTATAAATAGGCCGGGAGTAAACACAGAGTGGAAGTCACAAGAAGTTACAAGAAAGTGCCTACTCATCAAATCAGTCTGGATGTGGACAGTCTTCCAATAGAAAGAGCTAGAGGAGCAGGGAGAGGAAAAAGTATAACTGTATTTAAGATGAAACTAGATGAACTCATAAAGGAATTACATTTTATGGTACTTGGGATAAGCAAGGGCCAGACTCCATGACTCAGAAGCTGTTTTACAGGCTAAGAGCTCCAAAGATGTTGTTCCACATGTTTATATAACTGTTTGGAGTGCATGGAAGGATGATTTTTATTATTTTTTTTTAATAAGGAAGTTTAGTCATTCTAATATACTAAGTATACAACCTTTAAAATGAAAGAAAGGCAAGTGCATGTTCTCTGTGAATACAAATAGTTAATTGGACAAACAAGGTTTTAGTTTGAGAAATTAGAGCTGGACTACCTCAAAATGCTCTTATCAGCAGGAGATTGCTTTATTTTAAGAAGCTTTTAAAATAAAGAAATCAATACTATCAAGAATGAGGAAAGTGGTTTACTTTTGGAGGACAGGTTCAGTAACAAAGCTTTATCTGACCACAGGCAGAACCAGAACAGTGCTCAAACACAGCCCACTCTCAGCTTGTACTACTTTTGTCTTACTAGTGAGCAACAATGCCTTCCAAGGCTAAAAAACCAGTAAGTCAGTCATAATACTTT